AAAGAAAGAAAGAAAGAAAGAAAGAAAGAAAGAAAGAAAGAAAGAAAGAAAGAAACTGAGGCCCAGAGATGTTAAGTGCTTTGTTCAGAATCACACAGCAGCTATGAAGTGGGGGAACCAGGACTCAACCAGGTCAGTAGGACTCTAGCATGTGCTCTTAACCCAACACCAGATGATTAGTCCTCACTGGATGAGTGAATGAATGAAGGAGTGAATGAGCCCACAGTGTCACTGGGAGAAAGTTGCTTGGGAGCTGGGGGAAAGGAGAAGTAAGCCCCGGGGAGTGGGGAGCACGTCCATGTGCCAGGGCACGGAGGAGCCTTTGTGGAGCAGCTGGCCGCAGCCAGTCCTTGAAACAGTGGTGGGTCTCCCTACAGGAAAGGACACGGGGGTTGGGAGGGGGTGTCCTGGGGCAGGACTGGTCTGGAAGAGTGGAGAGACCCAGAGTGGGAAAGTACAGTGGGACTCTAGGGGAACAAATCATTTTCGGGCTGAGGGCCAGGTCTGTATTGGCCCCAAATGCCGTTTGTCTCATGACCTGGGCACAGGGCTGCCCCATCTGCAGGGACAAGGGCTGTGAGCTCAGTAGATGTGACCCTGTGTGGCAGCAGGCCTGGTCCCAGAGGCCCCCACGTAGGGTTCACACCAGCTAGGGTGACCAACCGTGCTGGTGTGCGTGGGGCTCTCCTAGTGTAAAAGCAGTGAAAGCCCTGTGTCCCCAGGAACTCCTCAGTCCTGGGCAATCTGGGACAGGGGGTCACCCTACGCCCTGCCCCAGGGGCAGGAAGTGCTGCCTCTCCCACCCTTTTATTTCACCGGTCAGCCCTGCCCACAGCTCTTGGCCCCAGCGAAGGGTCCAGAGCAACAGTGCTAGGGCCCAGAGGCGTCGCCCGCCCAGACTCAGGCAGCATCGGAGTTTTCTGCCATCCTTGGAGGGCACACCAGGACCCCAGCTCTAAGGAGAAAGGAGAGCCAGCTGTCCTCAGTGGCTCTTCAGTCAGCTCTGCTTCTACTGGTCCCCAACCGCAATGCAATTCAGTTCAACCCAACCTCAGCGCTTTGTGAAGCACCTAGTTTCTGCGGCACAGGTGTAGAAGCCTGGCCCATCTCGCGTGGTAATTGAGACACAGAGAGTAGCCAGGGAACAGAGGGGACTGTTAGGTGGGGACAGTGATGTGAGGGGTGGGCGGGGGATGCAGGTGGTCCTTGGAATGGAGGATAGGATTCTGACTATCAGAGAGAAGAGGGTAGGCAAGGCCTTCCAGGGGTAGGAATTATCGGTGCAGACGTGCCAGGCTGGAAATGGTGAGGTGGCTCAGGAAACGCGAGCAGGTTTGCACAGAACCTGGGCGTGCAAGAGCTGAGCACAGAGGAGTTGGGCCAACTTGGAGTCCCCTGCCTGGCCAGAGGTCCGGGCTTCTTTCAAAGGCAGCGGGAGCCCATCACAAGGCTTCCATTCTTAACACACACACACACACACACACACACACACACCCCTTTACTTTTATTACAAAAATGTATTTGTTGGAGAGAAATGTGAAAGGACAGTACATTATAAAGAAGAAAACAAACATCGTCTTTCATGTCCCCATCTCTCAGAGATCATCTTTGCTAACATTCTGGTGCATTTCTCTCTGCATTTATTTCTCTGAAAATAGATATGTGACATATAATTATTATCTATGATATAATATGTAATTATTTTTTCACACATGGGGTCATACTGTGTGTGCTCCATTATAGCCTGATTTTTTATGTATAGTATATTGTGTTATGAGGCCATGATGTTAAGTAAGCATTTTAATGTCTGTATGTTACTCTATTGTATTTAGTAGTAGTTGACAAACGAATTCCTTATTGTTGAACACCCATGTTCTTTTTGTGTTTTTCTATCATATACAAGGTGGTAGTAAACATTTGCATACCTAAATCTCTGTGTCTCTGCTGGTTTCTTTTCTTTTTCCTCCCTATTCTTTTTCTTATTCTTTTTCCTCCTTCTCCTCCTCCCCCCGTCTTTTTCTTCTTATTAATAGAAGTCTAATTAGTTTTCTTTTTTAAAATGTTTTTTAAATGTTTATTTATTTTTGAGAGAGAGAGAGAGTGATGACATGAGCAGGAGAAGACCAGAGAGAAAGGGGGACAGAGGATCCAAACCCAATGTTGGGTTCGAACTCACCTGAGATCATGATCTGAGCCGAAGTCTATGCTTAACTGCCTAACCGACTGGGCCACCCAGGCGCCCCTAATCGGCTTTCTTGAAGCGGAATGGCTGGGTCTGCACTGGAGAGCAGGGGAGCTGTGGTGAGCACTGGGTTTTAGAATGGGTGTTGTGGTGGTCCTGGGGGAAGGGAGGGCCTGGGAGCAGGGAAATCCAGAGGTAATGAGGCCTGAAGAGCCATGGTGGGAATGGAAAGGGAAGGTGGAAGCCAATGAGGAGACAGTGACTAGTTAATAAATGCCCACTGTGGGGCAGAGACTTATCCCGTGTCATCCACATGGAGGCATTCAGGCAGCAGCAAAACACTTAGGCTCTAATCTCAGACCTGAGTGTGAATTCCTGCCGTGTCTCTCATTAGCCGTGTTATTTGGCACCCCATTAACAAATGGGAATGATAATACCCTACT